ACAGCTCCAATAATACAAATGCTGCAGTTCGAGAGCACCTTTTTAGCTCACTTAGGTATGTCTCTCATTTTTATGTACAGAGGTGTGTGTTTAGTTAGATTACTTATTTAAAAGCCAACGTTGTTGAGGTGCCGGTGTATTGAAATCTGACTGCTTGTTTGAGCTATAGAAGCACGGAATCGTTGGTTTGAGCTTTTTTGAGTCTGATATGAATCTTGGGATTACATATTTTAAGCAACATTGACCCTTAATATATACATTTTGAAAAGTAAAAGTCTGGTAATTATTGAAGAGGAAAGAGAGGGGTATTGACTGGAATTTTTTAAGGTTTTTTATTACATTTCAAGTTATCGTTCAATTTTACTCTTCTTTGCCCCCTTTCCTTGCAATTAACTTTTGTTCATTTCCTGTGTCTGTATAAAATGATTGGTCACATGACTTCCCTTGCTTTTCCTTCTTAAGACCGTTCAAAACTTTGGAGTTTACCATATTTCAGCAAATATTGAGCTGTTGCAACTCTGTAATTTGTAATTGTCTGGAAGTTTGTGGAAGAGACTTGGTGGCGGTGGTTAAGGGTCTATTTGAAGTTGGGGTACCGTGTCATCTTCTCTCTCTTACTTGCCTTGCCTATTATGAGTTATGGAATTTACAATCCATTGTATCTTGTCATGCATCATGTAGGAAGACGTGATCTGTGTTATATTCAACTAGAATTCATATTTTTAATTGTTTATGTCATTTTGGGGGTGTTTTTATCTTGACCTGGAGGAGCACCAATAGGTATAAGATTTTTTTGGTGGTTCTGGACGATGGATTTTGATGGGCTTGTTGAGTTTGCGGATTTTTATCTTGTTGGTTCGTAATTAGAACTTGGCTTTTGTTTTGGATTTTTGGATAATTTATTGGTACTGGTTCCTATACTTCGTGTAGAGATAAGGAGGTTGGCTACTTCAAGAATTTTGAGATTTTTTTTAGGTAATTGATTTGATGGGAGCCAAGAGTTCTACTTCTAGGAATGGGAGGAGTTGGAGTCAGTCTTCATCAACTCGGTCTACTTCTTCATCGTCATGGAATTATCGTCATTCTCAATCATCGGTTTCACAATATGCTCAGAATTACCCTGTGCAGCAACCATATTCTGCTGAGGATCCACCACCAAACCATTACTATGCTCCTCCTCCTCCCAATTATGGGGTTTCATCCCAATCACATGCACCACAAAAGAAGCTCGAAAGGAGGTATTCAAGGATTGCGGACAATTATAATTCGTTAGAGGAGGTATGTATATATACTCCATGGAATTTATTTATGACCCTTAAAACCAGGGAATCGACAATATCCTGCATTGTCATCTATCAAAATCCTGTGCTTGATTATGTATAGCACATAGGAAATCCTTGTTCTATTTATTGAGCAATTTTAACTATTGGAAAACCAAATATTTTGCTTAAGAAATGTGAAAATTATCTGAATGCACACCACACGTAGATGTTTCTATAACTTCATATCTTACCATGGAAATGACTTGACTAAACAGCTTATAACTGCTTTTTGCTGCTGCATGTGAGCTAGAATAGCAGTTTTATTTTAAATAATAGTTTGAAAATATCTACCAACGTGACTGAGCAAGTGAAGGGAATCTCTCTCTCTTTCTCTCTCTCAATCAATCATTGGAAAACAAGCAAAAGGAGATTGGACCTTACACAATTGCTATATCACTTGTGTGCTCATCGTCATTTAACTTATAAGAACAGAACATATATTTCACCAATTCTGTAGGTTGTTTACTAGTAGCTTTAGCAACAACAAACAAGCTTTGAGATGAAAAGTAGAACTAAGCTTATGAAAGCTATTATTATCAAGGCTTAGGGGGGAATGAATGTTTAGATTTGAGGAATACATCCGAGTGAACTCTCTCTGGATGCATTTTCAAGTTTCAGTTAGCCTTGTAGAGAGATAGGAGATTGCAGCGCAAAAATTGATTCTGAGAGAAGAGTTGTTTTGAAGCATGATGTGATTGGCATATGAGTTTGCCCTATTTACTTTTGGCCTTTCTTTGTGGTTCACAAAAAGTAACATAATACTAAAAATGCTACTCATTCACAATATTGGGATGGATATTTGACAATAAATTGAGTGCAGTTCACCAATTTTAAAGGACATAAATGTCAGGGTGATATGTATCACTTAGATGGCTGTTGAAGGCCAGAGTTAATGCTGCAGCATATAGAAAAGCTGAATCATTTTTCCTTATGAGTACAATGTACATGTTTTCCGAGTTTTAATTCATATGATGCTTTGATTTATTTCCTGTTTTATTTTCAAAGTTTCCTAAATGTTTTTTGTAATTGAATTTTCTGTCTTTTTATAAGTGGGAAGTATGACGCTCTAATTTCTTCAGGTGACTGAAGCTCTTTCTCGTGCTGGCCTCGAGTCTTCAAATCTAATTATTGGCATTGATTTCACTAAGAGCAATGAGTGGACAGGTTGAGATTCGTGTTCTCTTGTTTAGAAATCTTGTTATGTATTATGAGGTACAGTAAAGTGTTCTGAACATGTATTTTTATTAGGTAAGAGATCCTCCAATGGTAGAAGCTTACATCACATCGGAAGTGGTTTAAATCCTTATGAACAAGCAATATCCATCATTGGGAAAACGCTGGGAGCTTTTGATGAAGATAACTTGATTCCCTGTTTTGGATTTGGAGACGGTATTACATCATAACTCGATTTTGTTTCTGAAATTTTAGAATTGACTTATTCTGTTAGTTCTATCTATAACCAAAATTCTCTTATTCAAACAGTACGAGTTATAACCTGTCCTCCTCTTCCTATAAATCTTGACAGCATCAACGCATGATCAAGATGTATTCAGCTTCTATCCTGATGAAAGATTTTGCAATGGGTTTGAGGAGGTGTTGAGTCGTTACAGAGAGATTGTTCCTCATCTAAAACTTGCAGGTTTGATATTTTTTATCTGTCGCAGGCTCTCAGCCCAGCGTTAGACTTTGATGTAATTGGAATACATAGCTTAGCCCTTTTTAAAATTTTTGTTTCAGGACCAACATCCTTTGCCCCTATTATTGAAATGGCCATGAGTATTGTTGAGCAGAATGGAGGACAATACCATGTTTTACTAATTATTGCAGATGGACAGGTAAGTCATTTTATCCATATTTAAGATTTTTAATATATTAAGCAGGTGAAAGGGAAAAAAATATTCTTTATCGGATTCACAAGGAGTAATTGGTTGGAGGATGTCGGCACATAGCTCATAAGAGACATGTTATGTGATTTTGATAGACATATTATTTTTACAAAACATTCCATATATGAATTTGTTATGTTAAAAATGATATATCACCATAGGTTACCAGAAGTGTCGATACTGAACGCGATCAGCTAAGTCCACAGGAGCAGATAACTGTTCAAGCCATTGTTGAAGCAAGGTAAATTTTCCGCATCCTCTTTTGATACGTCTGTAAATTGTTTATCATAAGGAGAAGTTTGTCAACTTTTCATGTTGTTGATCCATTGTTGTCAGCAAGTTGCCGTTGTCTATCATTTTGATCGGAGTTGGAGATGGACCCTGGGACATGATGAAGGAATTTGATGATAACATTCCAGCTCGGGACTTTGATAATTTCCAGGTCAGTTTTTGTGGTGTGTTATAAATGGTAAATTCTATTGAGCCTGTAGACCTTTACTTGAATATATTTGATATGTTTAACTAACAAACTATTTTCTCCTTGTCAGTTTGTAAATTTCACTGAGATTATGTGCAAAAATGTGCACCAATCTCGAAAAGAGACAGAATTTGCTCTTGCAGCATTGATGGAAATTCCATCTCAATTTAAAGCAACAATGGAGCTTAATTTGTTGGGGTAATCTCTCTCTCTCTCTCTCTGCATTGGTGTGCTGTGCATACATGGTCCCTATCGGTTTGTTTGGTAGTGTGACAATATAGTACCTGACATTACCAAAGGAGAAAAAGAAGCTAAAATCTCGTCCAGTATATTGTCCAATTCATTCCTACACTAGTACCACACGCCCTCTATGCATGTTTGCTTAAGGTAAGATAAGGTATTCATTTTTCATTGTTTTGCATGATTTAGCGGACAAAAAGGACATGGTGCAGAGAGGGTTCCTCTTCCACCACCTGTCTATGGTGCAGCATCTGGCACCAATTCAGAACTCGATTGTGCAACTAGTTTTCAGCAGAGTTCAAGTTCATATTATGATGCCAACAGTTCAGTCGATGCAGTCCCATCTGCTCCGAGTTCAACATATGACAACCAGGTAAATTCTGTATGCATATAACTTTTTATGCCTGTGCTTTTCGTGTATACCTTGGTAGTGCTTCCTAAACAACTGGTACTGTGACAAGTTTTTTTTTATTTGTCTTTTTGATTATAAGTGTCAGAAAACATGTGCTGATAGTTTTCTCTGTGTTGGACAGATTTGTCCTGTTTGCTTCAGTAACCGAAAGGACATGGCATTTGGTTGTGGGCATCAGGTATTCTAAAATGATCTATTGTAAACAGGTTAAAATCGGAGTTTCACCAAACTTATAGCACTATTTTACTTTGGTCTCCAAACATTTTTTTGTTCTAAATTAGTTACTGAACTTTCATTTTCAGTTTAGGCTCTTCATTTAACTCCGTCTGCTAAATGAATGGAAATACTATTGTGGCTAAAAGAAAATATGATGTGGCTTGATAAATACAATGATTATATCTCGAATCAAACAAAAATGTGTCTTGTTAGTTTAGTTGTGCTTTTGAATGCATTTCTTGAAGTACCAAAAAACAAAAGAAAAAAATATTTTTATGTATATATTGCAGCCCCTCCCCCTCACAACCATGAACATGTTTGTAGTAGACGAAGTGCCTAAACTAAAATAAAAATGAAAACCCATTGATTAATTTGAAACAAAAAAAGTTTGGGGACTGACTGTGTTTAACTCGTCATCAAATTTTACTTGGATGAATCCATGGAGGATGTTAATACTTAAGAGTGATCTTCTTTCTTCAGACATGCTGCGACTGTGGAAATAACCTTCAGCTTTGTCCAATTTGCCAGAGTTCAATCCAAACCAGAATAAAACTCTACTGAGTAGCTTGTTTGCTTGTTAAAACGTAGCTGCTGCTAAAAAACTAACAGGTTAGCACGGCTTGCTTCTCCGTCGTTATCTCCCTCATCTGCCCATCCCTTTTGTGCCAAATTATTTTAATTTGTTCTTGATGTAAAAATTTAGTAGTTTGAGTTGATGCATCATTGTAAATTTATGGTGTTGACATTATACACAGCACATAATCTTATTTATATACAT